GCCCTGGGAGCGGCCGGGGGCTGCGGGCGGAGCCGGGGGCGAGAGCTGCGCCCGGGGCCTGCGTGCTGCTGGCCCGGAGCCTTTCTGCCCTACCCCGAGCCACAGCCCCACCTCAGCCTCTTGGTGGGTAGTTATGGGTAAGCCTCCTGGTCAAGCCGGGCGCTGGTGGCTACTCAGGAGGCCGAGCATCGTGGGTCAAAGCCAGACCGGGCTTTGAACCACCCCACACCGTAAGTGGAGCAGTGGCTCAACGTGGCAGAATGTCCACAAAAGCTCAGGGACAGCAACCAGGCCCCGAGTCCAAGCCCCAGGACACAAAAAAAGGCCTCGTGATCCTTCCTGCCCGGGCTGGCTTACCTGAACTTCGATCCTAAGATCGCAGCCTCCTCAGTAGCTAGGATTAGAGGCATGAGCCATCTTTGCCCACCTTGAAACAGGGAGCTTTTTCTTTTAACGGGTTCAGGGCAGTGCTATTTTACCAAAGGGTATGAAATCATCCTGATAGGGAAACAGTTGTGGGGTAGTGGTGTCCTGACCCAAGTCATCGGGCCAGTGTTACAAGTGGTGAGCAGTGTCTTGCTTTTCCTACACCATGATTGACAGCAGCTGGAGAACAGCACATTAGATTCATGCTTATTCTAAACATTGCCCCCTTCCCTGTAACTTTTCTGTGTATGTACTTAGATCTTTGTTTTGGGCCTGTTTGATATATATGTGAAGCCATGTTGTCCAAAAATAAACGGAATTTTATTTTGCTGAGTTCTAACAGCAACAAAAATGTCCTGTTTGAGTAAAGCACATCAACAGTGAAGAAGAAAAAAGTTCTAATGAAAAGCCAAGCATGGTGATACACAGCTATAATCCAAACTCTGGGAGGTGGAGACAGGATGATGAAGAATTCAAACCCAGCTGGGTACTGGTGACTCACACTGGCCAGGACAGGAAAGTTTGTAAGACTCTTGCATCTCCAGTTAACTACCAAAAAGCCAAAAGTGGAGCTGTGGTTCAAGTGGTAAAGCTCCAGCCTTAAGTGAAAAAGTGAGTTCAAGCCCAGTACTGGCACAAAAAGAAAAAAAAAGGAATCTGAGCCTAGCCTGAACATCATAATGAGTTCCTGGCTAGTCTGGGTTGCATAGGAAAGGCAGAAGTGTGTTACTCAGAACCTCTAGCTCGTCTTCAAAGGCTTTTCAGCAACTTTTTTTTTTTTTTTTTTGGTACCGACATTGGGGCTTGAACAGGGGACTTGGGACAGTTCTCATTTGTCTTTTTGGATCATGGCTGGTACTAAACCACTTGAGACATATCTGTAGTCCAGCTTCTTTTTCCCTGGCAATTGAAGGTAAGTCTCACACTTTTCTGCCCTAGCAGGTTTCTACCTTGGTCCTTATTTCAGCTTCCTGAGTAGCTAGAATTACAGGAATGAGTCCCTGGCATCTAGCTTCAGCAATTTATATGTCCTTACAGATATTTGTACATGAGTAGGGATATACTCTGTGCTCTATTTGGTACCTTGCCTACTCAGGTAGCAGGAAATCACAGAGAACTCAAACTCTGACATGCCTACTGACCTTAAACCATTTTCCTCCAGCTCCCTTTACTATGGGACTTGAACAGCAGTAGATAAGCATATGCAAATGTGCAACTCTGAGTAGGATACACTTTGTTGGAGAGATGGCATGTACTCCTTTTCAAAGTGTTTGTGCACAGTTGATCTGTCCTCCAAAGAGATTGTGTAAACTACACCCATCTCAACCATAATCAGGGAACACGACTTGATCTGCCTTCTTGTCCCTACGGGTGCTGACCCTGCCTTTCCTCCCTAGCACCCACCAATACTGACATTTATTGCAGAAAAGTCAGAATCAACTCCCATCAAGCAAATGGATTCCTGTCATCATTTCCTATTTGACACAAGTAAATTCCAGAGTTTTTACATCTTTCACTGAAAACTTGAGTTGCTTAGATCTTTTCCTTTAAATTAAAAAGTTTTATTTTTACTTCTATACAACAGTAACATTTAAAATGTTTACCAAAATGTCTTGCTAGGTGCTGTTAGCTTAATCCTATAATCCTAGTCACTCAGGAGACCATGATCTAAGGATTGTGGTTCAAAGTCAGCCTAGGCAGGAAATGCCATGAAACTTAGTCACTTAACCATCAGAAAAGACAGAAGTGGAGCTGAAGCTCCAGTGGTAGAGTACTAGCCTTGAGCAAAAGATGCTCAGGGACAGCACCCAGGCCCTGAGTCCAGGCCTCAGGACCAGCAAAAAATAAAAACATAGAAACACCTGAGGCTTGTATCAAGTTTAGCAGACATTACTCTGCAGCTTTAGCTGTTACCAAATTTTGTTTTTGCTCATCTGCCAACAACATGAATTTGATAAGCTGGTAGCTTGGGTTTATTTTTCAGATTAACAAGAACATTGTCAATTTTGTGAACCTCTCACTGGATTTAGGTCTGTGGATCCCAGCCAGAAAGTTCTTGGTCTTGTTCAAGAAAGAATTCAAGGACACAGAGGAAGAAGCTTATTAATGCTAAGTCAAAGCTGAGCAGAAATGCTCTCTCTGGAGGAGCTCTGCTGGAGGTCCCAAGACCTCAGGCTTCTGTTGGAGTCTGAGGACATGGAGGTGGTCAGCACTGGGGAACCAGCTATGTGTCACTCCAGAGTGACATATATGTCATCAACTCCTCCCGCTTACTGGTGGGGGAAAATCTGAGCCTTACATGCTCAGACTATCAAAGACCACGGGGTGGAGTGCGGGGCTAGCGTAAGGTCGTGCTGCTTTGATTGCCTGTTGTCGTGCAGAAAGGTCAAGACTATTTGATGTTCCCAGAGGTCTTGTTTACCCGCAGCACTGAATAACAGCATCCATTTTGATCTTTGCCCACCAGAGTACACACTAGCTTGTTTTCATCGGTCTGTCTGATGGAAGTGGAGCACCTCTTTGGGTCAGTGATTTCTTGCCTGGGATTTGTCCAAGCCTGCTAGTCCTGTGCTGTCCTTCCTGGTGGCTTCCTTTTGGTTGGGAAGGGTCTTAGATTTGAGGCACCCAGCCTCACAGGCATACACACTCATTGTTCTTTGTCTTTTGACATCCTGGCATCTTTTTTTGTCCAGAAAAAGATTGAGGGTTGTTTTTTGGTGCCAGTCCTGGGGCTTTAATTCAGGGCCTGGATGCTGTCTGGGGGCTTGTTTTTGCTCAAGGCTAGCACTCTATCACAGTGCCATTTTTGTTTTTTTGATAGTGAATTGGGGATCAAGAATCTCATGGACTTTCCTGCCTGGATTAGCTTAGAACCATAATCCTCAGATCTCAGCTAAGATTACAGGCATAAGCCACCAACACATGGCAAGTTTGAGATTTTTACAGTCATATTTACTTCCTTTCTGACCTCAAGTTTTTGTGTGCTCTGAAAAGCTTTTTACACTCTAAGGTGATTTACAAAGATATTCCTAAAAGATTTGGGTTTTTACTGAAGTCTTGGCCCCCTGGGGAAGAAAGTCAACGAGAAAGAGCTGTGGAAAGGGTTCAGATTTATGTTTTCCAAGGTCTAGCCAGTTACTCCCATGTTGTTTATTCAATAAATTTCTTTACGTGGTTGGACCTATGTCGACATGCTGGACTCTGTCTGTTGAGATGCCTGCCAGGGGATTTGATAGCTGAACAAATGAAGGCCCAAAGCCTTAGGAGGAAACCTGGAAGGTACAGAAGTCCGGGTGCCGTCAATCCAGGGGAGGGGTGGGTTCAGGGTGCTGGGCAGCCAAAGAGCTTCCAGCAGGCCATAGCCTGTCCTGCTATAGCTAGAAAGCAGTTTGATTTGCCCCTACCTCTGCATAAAAGCAAAAATGAAAATACAAATACGATTTGTAATTATGGAAGGAGAGCGGAGACGCAGCTGACACCACTGCGTGCTGAGGCCTGGGTCTTCAGGAGAGCCCCCTTCTGCACCCAGAAGACGGGGGCCAGGCCACCGCCATGGCAGGCTCACAGAAGAGTGAGGGGAAGACCTGCCAGTTGTGACAGGAAAGCCTTGAATAGAAAAAAAAGAAGAAAAGGGAGGCTGGGAAGGTGGCTCAGTGGTAGAGCGCATGCCTTGCATGCATGAGGCCCTGGGTTCGATTCCTTAGCACCATATAAGGAGAAAAAAAGCTGGAAGTGGTGCTGTGACTCAAGTGGTAGGGTGCTAGCCTTGAGCTGAAGAGCTGGGGGACAGCGCCCAGGCCCCACAACTGGCAAAAAAAAAAAAAAGGAAGAATCCACACCAGCTATTGCTGGCACTGAGATTTGAACTCAGGGCCTTACAATCACTTGTCTGTCACTCTACCACTTAAGCCTCATTTCTAGCCCAGCTTATTGCTGGTTATTTTAGGAGTTCCTCAGACTTTTCCTGTCGGGCTGGACTTGAACCATCATCCACTAAATATCAGTCTGCTGAGTAGCTAGGATTAGGTATGAACCACTAGTACCTGACTCACACAAGCTGTTGGGAAACAAAGACCGTTTGCAGAGCTTGTCACAGAGGTTGGCTGGGTCTGGTGGAGAAAACATGTCACACAAGTGCTGGTGCATGCTACTTGTCTGGAATGCTTTTGACTCAAGGACTTCATGGCAGTAGTTCAGAGGCACACAGGCGTGAAGGCTCCTTTTTTTCCTGGGGCTTGAGCAAAAGTTTATGGCTAGTGCTCTGCCACTTGAGCCACAGTTCTACTTCTGGCTTTTTGGTGCTTAATTGTAGATAAGCATCTCATAGGCTTTCCTACCTAGGCTGGTTTCAAACCATGATCCTCAAATCTCAGACTCCTCAGTAGCTAGGATCAAGGCATCAGCAACCAGTTCCTAGCTTAATGCTCCTTATTTACTTTTTTCCCCCAGTGCTGGAGATGGAACTTGGCCTCACATATGCTGAGCAAACACTCTTCCTCTTCCTGGCCCCAGCAGCTCCGTTTTTGGTATTCATAGCTTCCACAAGTCACTCCAGAGAGAAGTCATTTTGTCACACCCTGTCAGTAGGCAGAGGGGCCAGACATGGCCAAGTGGTGGCCTCAGGCATCTCAGCTTGAACTGTGGATATTGCCTGAAGCTTCTTCAAGGCTGGGGCCAGGGGAACTTGGAAGAACATTAGCCACATTCACAGCAGGGAGCAGGCCCTCAGAGCCAGGTGCGCAGGTCAGTGCTGTCCCTTTACCTCCAAAGGCTTTCTGGGGAGCAGAGGGCTTGCAGCCCTACTGAAGATGGTTTTCAGAATGATCTACAGTAGAAGAAAAGACAAGAGAGCCCTGGAACTGGAGTAACAGCTTAAAGAAATGGGGTGTTGTTTCTTAGGGTTTTAAGTTTTTATGGGTGTTTATCCTGTGAAAGAAAGACAAAGAAAAGAAAGCTGGGCACTGCTGTCTCACACCTGTAATCACAGCTACTTAGGAGACTTGAGATGTGAGGATCACAGTTTGAAGCTACCCTGGGCAGGAAAGTTCATGAGATTCTTATCTCCAATTAGCCAACAACAAAGCCAGAAGTGGAGCTGTGGCTCAGGTGGTAGAGTGCTCAGGTCCTGAGTTCAAGCTCCAGGACTGGGCTCCCCCAAAATAAAGTAGTTGGCTAGGAGTGTAGCTCAGTATAGAGCACTAGCCTGGCATGGCCCTGGCATCTAGCCTCAGCACCACAGTACAAAAAAAAAAAAAAAAAGCAACAAAAAACCCAGTGGTGCTGTGGCTCAAGGGTCAGGTAGAGTGCTAGCCTTGAGTAAAAGAACCCCAGGGACAGCATCCAGGCCCTGAGTTCAAGTCCCAGGACTGGCAAAACAAACAAACGAACAAAAAAAACACGCTGAAAAACCAAGACAAAAACAAGCTAACGAATGCCCCTTCTCCAGAAAAAAACCAAAAAGGCAAAAGATTAACTCTACATTTGCCAGCTTCATGACAAGTATTGTTCTCATTTACCTTTAACTTTGGAGATGGGGCCCTTTGCTGTCACTGTGGGAGGGCCTGGCCCTACCTGGTTGAGTCTGTCCTCCTCCCGGGTCAGATTCCAAATGATTTCGAAGTGATCCACGCTGGGCAGTTCTTCAAATGAGGCTTTCCACCCTGTTTGGCACAGTGTCTGGGTAGGAGAGACAAGGGAGATGAGGGCCGTCTGAGGCTGGGGTGGGGGAGGGTGGGAGTGGGGAGATGGTTCCCACAGTGCCTGGCAGGAGGTCAGGACACAGGAAGTATTTAACAGGGAAAGTAATGAGGTCACATGAGCTTGACCGCCAGCCAGATGCTAGGAGTACCTTACCTCATAGAACTCCCAGGACTGTCGGTGGAATTCTGGGGAGTCGTGCTGACCCACAATCACCAGCACGGGGCAGGCAGAATTCCCAGGCTCCACCGGGGCCGCCTCCAGGTGCCGCTGTGGGCTGTTCCTCCGAGCATCCTCCCTGGTCGGTTGGGAGGGGGACCAGGGTCAGGACAGAGGCACAGGCAGCCCCTAGTCAGCAGGGAAGGGAGGGCAGGCGACTCACGGTGTCATGTGGAGAGGGGCATTCTGGGAGGTGGACAGGAGAGGTTCCAGATCATAGATTCCACTCATCAGGAAAAACCCTACAGAGGTAAAGGAAGGCTTGGGGACAGGGACCAGGTAAAGCAAGATGGGATCAGGTGAGCCTTCAGATCAGAGAGGCAAGCTTGGGGGCGGGGCGGGGAGGGGACAGAGAGAAGGCAAAGACACTCCTGCGGCTCAAAGCTCCAGGATCAAGCCACTCGTGACTATGAGGACTTGGGCTGATGGCCCAAGGGTGCCTGCAGTCCCCACAGAAACCTTTGAGACTGGGTGTGACTCCATGCTTGGACCAGTTAACCAAGAGCATCATGGCAGCCAGCTGAGCCCCCGCTGAGTGTCCACACAGGAAAAGGCCTCTAGGATAGGTCAGACAGAGAGCTGGGTTTGTATTTCTTTCCCTAAGGCATCAGCGGCCCGGATTTGCCCGTGGACCATAGGCCACAGGGGCAGCATGGCTGCTTCCACCCGCCTGGCACAGCCCAGCAGAGTGCTGCCGTGACACCCACTTGTTCTCTGGAAAGCTCTTCTGCACGAAGGCGATGCTGCGGGCCACCTGATCCACCATCTTGTCTATGGTGCCTGAACAAAGAGCAGGGGCTGAGTCAGGATCCACTGGGAAGTTGTCTCCCTGCAAAATAGCCCCCTAGCCCTTGAACTGGCAAAGCCCACCCTTGGTACCTTTGGGGGCAATGTCATAAGCCACGATGACCACGGCCACCCCATGTGCTGTCAGTGGGTTGACCATGAAGGCAGACTGGTCTTTACTGCAGAGACAAGAGGTAACAGTGGAGGCCACTTGGCCTTGGTCCTGTCCCCCCTAAGTCCAGGACACACTGCGTGTCATGGTAGGATAGGGGGAAAGCTATCATGGTGTATGTTAGCCAAGGGAATGCTGAGACTTTAACTTCTAAGCCTGGTTCCCTTGCCAGTAAAATCCCAACAGTTATGTCCCCTGTGTGCATATGCGCATGCGCCAGTACTGAGGCTTGAACTCAGGGCCTGGACACTGTCCCTGAGCTTTTTGGCTCAAGGCTAGTGCTCTACCACTTGAGCCATAGCCCCCACTTCCAGTCTTTTTATGGTTAATTGGAGATAAGAGTCTTAGGGACTTTTTTGTCTAGACTGGCTTTGAATCTGAACTGTGATTTTCAGATCTCAGCCTCCTGAGTAGCTAGGATTACAGGCATAAGCTTCTGGTGCCCAAATATGTGCCTTCTTATAATGTTCCCTGCTTTTAAGAGCTTCAGATGAGGAGTTCAAAGATCTCTGCAGTAAGGTGAATATGTTGGCCAGAAGCAGTGGCTCACATCTGTAATCCCAGCTACAATCAGGAGGCAGGACTCCCTCAGAAAGTGCTAGAACAACAGAGGCAAACACTGCCTTTTTATCTAAGGGCTATCTTTTTAGCTATGTGCCAGTCCTGGGGCTTGAACTCAGGACTAGGCATTGTCCCTGAGCGTTTTTGCTTAAGGCTAGTGCTCTACCAAAGATCCACAGCTCCATTTCCAGCTTTTTTTTTTTTTTGTGAGGGGGTGGGGTGAGTAACTGGAGCTAAGAGTCTCTCAGGCTTTCTGTCCCTGGGCTGGCTTTGAACCAAGCTAGGACCAGAGGCATAAGCTACCAGCACCCGGCTGTGCCGTTCCTCTTTGAGCACTGAAAGCCCTGTGTCCTCTTGCTCCTGAGCACACTACTGAGACGGCTGGCCACTCTGGCTTTCTTGATCAGCAGTTGGCCAAATCCATCTCCCTCTGGGTGTGGTGTGAATAGTGTTTCCCCAAAAAAAGTATGTCCAAGCCTGTCATCCTAGCTACTCAGGAGGTTGAGAGCTGAGGATCGCAGTGCAGAGCCAGCCCTGGTAGGAAAGTCTGTGAGACTCTGATTTCCAGTGAACCACTCAGAAAACCTTAAGTGGTACTGTGGCTCGAGTAGTAGAGTGCTAACACTGAGCAAAAACAAGCACCTAGGCCAAGAAGCTAAATACTGAATATTTTCCATTCATTTGCAAAATACAGACTGTAAAAGATACATAGTTATATATTCATGCTGTGTGTGTGTGTAGGGAGAAGAAGAGAACATAAGCATAACAGGACAACTTGGGGGGGGGGGACAAGAGGGAGGAGGATGGGTAAGAATGGTGGAGGACACATATTATGGAAACCCATGGTGTCTATGAAGATGAACTCACTGAAGGCAAGGGAACAATAGAGGTAGAGGGGTGGGGGAACCCCAGGAAAGAGAGTGCAAAATTGGTGACTGTATTATATACAAGTGTGAATGACGCCCACAATGAAGAAAAAGGAAAAAGAGAGGGAGACTTGAGACCCAGACACCATGGCTGTGGGCAAAGGACCCAAGAGACCACCAGAAGCGATGGGGCTGGAAAGACCCCACCCTGACAGCCTGACCCCGCAGCGCCCCATGCCTGACTCCCAGGCTCTGAGGCGTGAGTGCATACACTGGTGTGGTTGGAACCAGGCTGGCTGAGTTACAGCTGCACATGTGCAGTGAGGGGTAAGGAACACAAGAAAGTTTTGAGAAAGCATTGAGCCCAGAGGCCTCGCTTCTGATGGCGCACTGGCCACGTGCTAAACCTTGCTCCTGCGAGACCCAACCTGCATTCATCTGAACCTGCCAGCTCACCTTCCACTCTGCCAGTATCCTCCATGAAAAAACACAAAGAAAGGCAAAGCTGCAAGAAAAAACAGTCCTGGGTGGGGCTGGGCCCTGGGCCAGGCTGGGCCCTGGGGGGCGGCCACAGGCCAGCAGCCCACTTTGCTCACCTTCAGATGCCGCATCAGGAAAGTAAATGTCTACTTTCTCCCCTTCCCCATCTCCATAGGGGACGTCCAGCTGGCTCTTCCTGGTGGCCCGGGCTTTGCTGGTGGCTGCCTCGGGAAATGGACAAGGGATTGTTAGAAGCTCGATGAACCCAGGGCCTCCTTACACTTGCTGGACCACTTGAGCCACGCCTACAGACCCTTTTGCTTTACTCCCTTTGCTTTTTGACCAGACTGATCTTGATTCTCCTTCCTCGGCTCCCTGTGTATCTAGGATTACAGTCCTGAGCCACCACTTATGGCCAGAAGGCTTCTTGAAGACCATTAGGTACCTGCCTACCTTAAAGAATTTGGGTAGACTTTTTTATGTGTGCCAGTACTGAGGCTTGAACTCAAGGACTGGACACTGTCCCCTGGCTTTTTCACTCAAGGTCAGTGCTCTACCAATTGAGCCTTAGCTCCACTTCTGGCTTTTGGTGGTTAGCCATAAGTTTCATGGACTCTCGGCTTTGAGCCTCAGTTCTCATATCTTAGCCTCCTGAGTAGGTAGGATTACAGGTACGAGCCTTAACCACCTATCTATCATTCTTTTAGGTTAGAATGTTTAATGCTGTTTATGCTATTTCTGTTACACAGAAAGCTTTTTCCTACGAGAAAAAAAGAAAATAGGAGAATCTTTTAAAAACCGTGAATGATGAGTGCAGAATTTTGAATCTTGAATATTTTTCAGAAAATTGGGGCTGGGAAGGTGGCTCAGTGGTAGAGCGCTTGCCTTGCATGCAGAGGCCCTGGGTTTGATTCCTCAGCACCACATAAGCAGAAAAAGCCGGAAGTGGTGCTGTGGCTCAAGTGGTAGAGTGCTAGCCTTGAGCTGAAGAGCTTAGGGACAGGGCCCAAGCCTAGGGTTCAGGCCCCAGGACTGACAAAAAGAAAAAATACTCCTGGGCTGGGATGTAGCTCAGTGGCAAAGCGCTTGCCTAGCAAGTGCAATGTCCTGGGTTCGATCCCCAGTACCAAAAAAGAAAAGACAAAAAAAAAAAGAAAGAAAAAGAAAATACTCCTTTCTTTCTGTATGGTATTGGGGATCAAATATGCCCTTTTGTGGCGGGAGGAGGCTACTGAGGATTGAACTCAGGGCTGCTATCCTGCTAGGCAAACACTTAACCTCTTCAGCTTAGCCTTTAGTCTTTTCTTTTGTTGTTGGAGGTGGGGCTTGAACTCAGGCCAGGGCACCGTCCTTGAGCTCTTTTGCTCAAGGCTAGCACTCTATCACTTTGATCCACAACTCTACTTGGAGATAAGAGTATTGTGGACTTCCCTGCCAGGGCTGGCTTTGAACCATGATCCTCAGATCTCAGCCTCCTAAGTAGCTAGGATTATAGGTGTGAGCCACTGGTGCCCGGCTATTTTCAATTATTACCTAATAGACTGAAAGTATGGTAAAAACCGGGTGCTAGTGGCTCACATCTATAGTCCTAGCTACTCAGGAGGCTGAGATCTGAGCATCACAGAAGCCAGCCCAGGACAGGAAGTCTGTGAGACTCTTTTTTTTTTGGTTGGTCGTGGGGCTTGAACTCTGGGCTTGAGCACTGTCCCTCAGCATTTCAGCTCAAGGTGAGCGCTCTACTACTTGAGCCACAGTGCCACTTCCAGTTTTCTAGTGGATTATTGGAGATAAGACTCTCACAGACTTTCCTGCCCGAGCTGACTTTGAACCTTGATCCTCAGATCTCAGCCTCCTGAGTAGCCAGGATTACAGGCTTGAACCACCGGCACCCGGCTCTGTGAGGCTCTTATCTCCAATAAACGACTCAGAAACTAAGCCAAAAGTGGTGCTGTGGCTCAAGTGGTAGAACACTAGCCTTGGGCACAGAGAGACTCAGAGACAGTGCCTAGGTCCTAAGTTCAAGCTCCAGGACTAGCAAAAAAAAATATTGTGGTAAAGGACCAGGCTGGCTGGGTTCTTTGCTGGACCATGAGGAGCTCTGGACAACAGGCGAGACATTAGCACACATCTGACCAAGTGGTTTTGCTTAGAATATTCATGGGTCAGGGCTGGGAAGGTGGCTCAGTGGTAGAGCGCTTGCCTTGCATGCCTGAGACCCTGGGTTCAATTCCTCAGCACCACATAAGCAAAAAGAAAAAACCCAGAAGTGGTGCTGTGGCTCAAGTGGTAGAGCTCTAGCCTTGAGCTGAAGAGCTGAGGGACAACGCCCAGACCCAGAGTTCAGGCCCTATCACCGGACCCCCTCAAAAAAAAAAAAGAATATTCATGGGTCAAAGTAGCCAATACATGAATGGATCAACAAATTGTGCACTTCGGCAGAATATTGGGGCATAAAAAAGGAATCTAAGGGCTGGGAAGGTGGCTCAGTGGTAGAGTGCTTGCCTTGCATGCCTGAGGCCCTGGGTTTGATTCTCCAGCACCACATAAGCAAAAAGAAAAAAAAAATCCGGAAGTGGCGCTGTGCTCAAGTGGTAGAGCTCTGGCCTAGAGCTGAGGGACAGCACCCAGGCCCAGAGTTCAAGCCCCACAACTGACCAAAAAAAAAAAGGAATCTAAGCTGGGTGCTGGTGGCTTATGCCTGTAATCCTACTCAGGAGGCTGAGATTTGAGGACCCATGAGGAGCTCAGTCCAAAGCCAGGCCAGGCAGGAAGTCCACGATTCTCTTATCTCCAATTAGCTACCAGAAAACCGAAAGTGGAACTGTGGATCAAAGTAATAGCAAAATTTGAGTAAAAATGCTCAGGGACTGTGCCTAGGACCTGACTGAGTTCAAGCCCCATGACCGACCAAAAAAAAGGAATCTAGTTCTAATACCTGCGACAGCACAAATGAATCTAGAAGACATCTAAGTAAAAGAGCCAGACACCAAAGGACACCTATGGTATGACTGTCTACAGAGAACCTCCTCAAAGGAAAGGCAGTAGGGATTAGCAGGAGGAGGAATAGCAATCACTGCTAAAGGGATCGGGGTTCCTTTTGGAATGACAATAAGGTTTAGGAAGATGGCAGCGTTGGTCTGGCAACATTTGAGTATTCAAAATACTACAGACAGCTGTGAGCAAAAAAGAGAAAGCCAAACAAGAGCTCAAGTGCCCGACTTCAAGCCTCAGTATTGGCACATACATACACAAAAGCTACCAAACTGAACACATTAAAATGACAAGGTAAGCCAGGCACTGGTTGCTCATGCCGGTAATCCCAACTACTCAGAGGGCTGAGATTTGAGGTTCATAGTTTGAAGCTAGCCCAGACAGGAAAGTTCACGAAACTCTCATCTCCAATTAACCACCAAAAATGCCTAAGTGGAGCTGTGGCTCCAGTGGTACAGTGCCAGCTGAGAGCAAAAAAAGCTTAGGGACAGTGCCCAGTCCCAGTTCAAGCCCCAGGGCTGGCAAAAAAAAAAGATTGGGTTTGTATTTTGTGAGCCCATTATCTGTCCCCCTTCCTCCCCCCACTTTCTCCTCCTCCCTCTCCTGCAGTGAATAGGGGAAAATCCTAATTACAGAGCCAACTAGCTTATATAGGCCAGCTGGGCAGGGACAGGCAGTGGCTGCCAGTCACAAGGTCCCACCAACCAATCTACACTGGTGATTGGTCAGGCAAGGCAAGATAGGAGTCATTGGTACTGGAACTGCATGTGGGCTGGGATTTAGGGTGTTTGCTAGGAGCTCTCCATGATTCAAGAGTTGACATACTCCAGAGTATGGCTGCCAGGCATGGGGCACGCTTGGAGCCCAGCACCGCCAAGGCGAAAACTTGCAAGAACTGGAGCTCCCAGGGGCTAGATGGAGTAGGCCGAAGCTCCGGTGGACGTACAGTATTTTTACTTGTGGGAAAATACCCATAACACACTTCCATTTTAACCTGCTTTAAGTTCAATCAGATAATATCCACTTAGCTTACATTGTCTGTAATCCTCATAGCTTCCACCTCCAGAACTTCCTCTTCCCATTAAACATTAACTCCCCATTCCTCCTGCCCTGCCCCTGCCAGCCCTCCTACACGAGGTAAACATGATTACTTTAAGAACCTAGAAATACAGAAGAACCATAGTACTTACCCATTTGCATCTAGAATCTATGTCTATATACATATTTATATATCCCTACTTTTGATTATAGTTATAGATGTATATTTTTCTTTACTGTAAAATGAATTTTGACTAGCCAGGTGTGGGTGGGTTACACCTGTAATCCTAGCTAATGAGAAGGCTGATTTCTGAGGATTCATGGTTTGAAGTCAGCCCGTGCAGAAGTCAGTAAGGCTCTTTATCCCCAGTTAAACAGCAAAAAGCCAGAAGTGAAGCTGTGGCTTAAATCTAGGGGACAGTATCTAGGCCCTGAGTTCAAGCCCCAGCACTGGCACTGGAGGACACACACACAAAATCTTGAAGAGAATGGAAGGAGGCACTGAAAGACCTGACCATTAATTTACCCGGGACCTCATTTTATTCTGGAATTTAACCTCTGATCTACTGCAGTCCTAAAGCCAGAAAATTCCACCACAAAAAGCTACGTGCAAACTGTCCTTGGAAAACTGCAGATGATGTTTACCTAAGATAAGCCGGAGGTGGAATTGTATGAGATTCCAGATATAGGAGTGGTGACCAAAATCTAACCAAAAAGTCCTGCAGTTCTGCACGTACTCCCTTGCACCACCCTTGTGACTTAACCAATAATTTTAAAGTGCATCAACCCCTTGATCTGACCAATAATCCTTTCTAGATTCCTTCCCGCCATTGGACACTCAAATCATGTTTTAGAGATGTTTTATGATTCTCCCGAAGTGTGTGTTGATTTGTCAAGGAATGATATGATGATGATGATGATGAGTGCAAAGCCTCAGCCTTCCCCAAAGAGTGTATAAAACTGCTGCAAACCCTAGGCTTGGGGCCTCTCAGCGTCAGCCGTTGTGTGCTGTGTGTGCAAAGGATCAGGCTAGCTCACAATAAACACCTCGCTGCTGATTACCTCGATCTTGGTCTCTGGTGGTCTCTTTAGGGTCCCAAACTTGAGCATTATAGCACACATCTGTAATGTCGGCTATGCAGGAGGCTGAGGCTTGGGAGGACTGAGCTGAGACTGTTAAGACTTTATCTGACAAACTAAAGGAATAAGGGCTGAAAGTGGGGCCTGTAAGCAGATCGCCCAGTATGACCAAAACAGCAACAGGAAGGGAGAGGTGGAAGGATTGAAAAAAAAAATAGTGAATTCTACCAAAGAACCTTTTTTATGGATATAGGCATAGAATAGATGAAGCTCCGCTGTACAATTAATGTGCTAATAAAGCCTGAAGAGTTGTCTGAAAACGGCAATAACATCCCATCTCCAGGGAACAGTTATAACATCCCAAGTGGGCGTGAGCTGGCTGAGCCCTCACCCGCCTCTTTGGCCCCCACTCAGCCCCGCAGCCTGGGCTCCTGAGCACGGGAGGCTGCCCCCAGATACCGACGGCTCCCGCAGGGCTAAAGATCACCCGAGGCAGCCGGGCGGGGCCGCACCGTACCTTCGCTTCCCATCTGTAAGTAGGTCTGCAGGGCTTCCTGGGCTCCCCGGCGGACCACCCACTCGCTGGGCGAGTACTGCTTCTCCAGCTCCTGGGGGACAGGGACACAGGCCAGGCCGCGGGAGGCGCGTCCCAGGCCGGGGCCGCTCAGCCTGGGACCCCAGACCCAGAGCTCGCAGCGCCGAGCCCGTCCAGCTCCGCAGCCCCCCACCGCCCCGGTGCCTCAGCCCACCGCCCGGGGCCAGGCCGGGGCCCAGGGCGTCCGGTGGGGCCACCGTGGGCGCGGCCCCCCGCGGGGTGGGGTCGGTCCGGGGAGGTCCCTCTGCCGCCGACGCGGGCAGCTCGGACCCGGACACGGGGCGGCGCGGGACCAACATCACGGGAAACTCAGCCCCCCGTGCCGTAAGCACCGACCCCGACGCTTCCGGAGGCCTGGTCGGCTCCGAGCCCCCTCCCCGAGCCCCACGCCCGCGGCCAACCTCGGCGGACAGGACCCTCCAGGGCGCGTCCATGCTGCCTGCGGCGGCCGACTCACGCGCGCCCCGCTCCTACCCGGGGCGAGGGGCGGGCCACGCCTGTCCGGCTGGTGAGCCAATCAGCGGGGGAGTGTATTCCCGCCGGCTCCTGATTGGCCAGCTTCGCAGTCCGAGCGGGCTCCGGGTTTAAAGTGTGGGACTGCCGACCTGGCGGGTAGCTTCAGGCGGCCAGCCCGGGGGTCTCGGCTCCCGTGACGGCTCCTCTCCCCTTTCTCGCTTTCGACCCTGGCAGCCAGCATGAGCTGCGTCACCCTGCCCACGGTGCTGCCCGGCTCCCCCAGCAAGATCCGGGGGCAGATCCAGGTGCGGGGGGTCCGTCCTGCGGGGTCGGGGGGCGGCCGGCGCCGGGGCGGCCCCGCTGACCTCTCCCTCTGTCCTAGGTGATTCTCGGGCCCATGTTCTCAGGGAAAAGGTAAGGGCCTTCCTGGGCGGGTGGGCTGCCGGTCGCGGGGACGCGTCCTTCCCGGCCGCGCGTCCCGGGCCAGGCCCGCGCCTTCCCGCCAGCCTTCCTCCCCCTCCCCCCGACCACCGCCTCCCCCCCTCCTCCTCCCCTCCTCCCTCTCTTTCTCCCCCCTCCTCCCCCTATTCCCCCCCCCCTCCGCGCTGCCCGGCCCTCGAAGCCCCCCGGGCCGCCCCCCACCCCCACCCCACCCCGGGGCCCTCCCGGTGTGGCGGGAAGGCTGCAGTTACTTCCCGCGCCGGCCCCGGGCCAGGCCTCGTCCCCACCCCCGCCCCGTCCTCGGAGGGTCGGACCTGGGGGCAAGCGCGTTCCGCGGCAGGCTCGTCTTCCCCACGACGGACCCCGGCGGCGCAGGCGCGGCCCTGGCCCCGGCCCAGCCCGCCTTTTGCTCCTCCCGGGTGGAGTGCCCGCCAGGAGCGCGGCGGGCCGCGCGGGCCTCACCTGGCCTGCGATCTTGCAGCACCGAGCTGATGAGACGCGTCCGGCGCTTCCAGATCGCCCAGCACAAGTGCCTGGTCGTCAAGTATGCCAAGGACACCCGCTACAGCAGCCACTTCTCCACCCACGACAGGTCAGCCCCGCCGCCGCCTGCCCGCGCAGGACATACCGCAGAGCGCTGTACTCCGTCCTCCCACCCCTGGCCTCGAACACCAAGCGTTTGCAAATTCTGGAGGTCTAGACTTGGCCATGCTTGGGGCTCGAGTCCAGACCCTCCCCCACAGGCCATCTGAGAGTCATCTCTGGTAGTCAGAGCTGGAGGGGGATTGGAGGCTGCTGGCCTCTAATGGGTGGAGTGTGGGGGTACTTGCCTCGGCCTACATAGTCCCCACCACTCAGATCGATCTGGTAAGCCTGACACATGACACCGGTGGCGCCTTCCTATTGTCCTAGCTACTCAGGAGGCTGAGATCTGAGGATCACAGTTGGATGTCAGCTGGGGTAAGGAAGTCCATGTGACTGTTATCTCCAATTAACAACCAAAAAGCTGCAAGTAGAGTTGTGGTTCAAGTAGCAGAGCACCAGCTTCGAGTGACAAAGATAAGGGACAGTGAGTGCTCAGCCCTGAGTTCAAGCCACAGAACCAGGATTGTACAAGTGCAACACAAAGAATGATCTGGTCCCAAAAAGTCTGTCTTGTCTGCTATTGATGAGAAACCCTCTTTAGAATTTTCACCTGTGCAGAGGCTGCAAACAGATTTGCTTGGCTTGAACTCAGGGCCTGGGCGCTGTCCCTGAATTCTTTTACTCAAGTCTAGTGCTCTATCACTTTGAGCCACAGCTCTGCTTCTGGTTTCCTGGAGGTTAATTGGAGTTACAAGTCCCACAGACTTTCCTGCCTAGGCTGGCTTTGAACCTTGATCCTCAAATCTCAGCCTCCTGAGTAACTAGGATTATAGGCATGAACCACCAGCACCGGCACCTTCACTGATTTTTAATTTCAGTCATTTGTCTTTAGCTGGCCCCTGTCTGTTTGTGGCCTTCTTGGTTGTGTGTTTATCTGCCTGAGCTCTGGGCATTTCTGCCTGTAACCTCTGGGCTGGAGTCAGCTTTTAATTCCTTGGCAGTGGGTTTGGGACTGGTGTTGTGAGCCACGGGCACACTTGTCTCCATGATCAGGAGCAAAGCTGTGCTGTGCCCGAGTGCAGTAGTGCATCCTGGGCTACTGAGAACAGCGTCCAGCATGTGGTCCTGGTGGGAGTTCTGGGCTTGGTGAAGCTGGTCAGGGCGTAGAGTGGAGACTGCTCAGGGCTCGGAGTCAGTAAGGGCCTGGGTTTGAGCACTGCTTCCCGTGGGCTCAGAGATAGAAGTCTTTTTACTTTTCCACATTCCCTAACCAAGGTCCCACCGCACAAGTCAGGTGCCCATCTCATGGAAGCAGAAGACAACTCCAGATGCAGATTGTGGGTTGGGGCAGGTCTGAGGTTTCTGGGGGAGTCACAAGTCAACAGTGTAGACGCCTGACACCCACAAAGCATCAGGGATGAGCCCTTGCCAAAGCCGGGGCCCGTGCGCCGCCTGACTTCCTCTTCCCGTGCCCTCCACCAGGGGAGGCTAGAGGGAGTTGAATATGCACAACAAATCGTTCCCCAGAGTTTGGAGGTTATATTATCAAGAGAAGATAACTGAGCAGTAGTTATGAAGTATTTAATTTTGTATAAATGCAGCTAGCTACGCACCATAGCGCCTCCCTGGAGTCTAGTTCTGCAGATCAGGCAAAATGAGGACAAAAGAAAACATTGTAGGGAAACAGAAACTACTTAGACAAGCCCAGGACAGCACACAGCATTCCTTTCCAGAAAAGGCTCTGGCTGTGGGGGCGGGGTGAGGGCCGCGGCATGATTTATGATGCTGGCATGGCCTCAGAGGAGCAGACTTGGCTGGGTGGAGTCTGGGTGAGACAGCAGAGCTGCACCCAAGACCTCGAGTCCCTGGCTCTGCTGGCTGACAGTCACGTGATCTCGGAGAAACCCTTCAATCTGCTGGGTGTCAGCTGGAGGGGTTCTAGCTCACTGCTGGCTGGTTGTGCTGGCAGCTTCTCTCTACGGAGGCAGAGCCCTCCGTGTGGTGCCCGTGGGCTCCTCACCACACGTGGTCTTCTTGGATGAGCCTTTTCTTCAATTGAAAAACTAAAAAGTAGCCGGGCGCTGGTGGCTCACGCCTGTCATCCTAGCTACTCAGGAGGCTGAAATCTGAGGATCGCGGTTCAAAGCCAGCCTGGGCAGGAGAGACTGTGAGACTCCTATCTCCAATAAACCACCAGAAAACCGCAAGTGGCGCTGTAGCTCAAGTGGTAGAGCGCTCGCCTTGAGCTGAAGAGCTGAGGGACAGCGCCCAGGCCCAGAGTTCAAGCCCCACGACCGACAAAAAAAAAAACTAAAAAGTACTGCTTTGTTTTTATTTTGAGTTGGGGATTCATTTAGCACTAAACTACACTCCCAGCATTCATTCTCCCATATGTGAACTTATCATTTATGATGGCATTGGTATTAAGATAAAAACCCAGGCTAAGTTAGGCTTGCTTATTCTTTTGTTGGTTGTGGGGCTTGAATTCTGGGCCTGGGCGCTGTCCCTGAGCTCTTCAGTTCAAGGCAAGCGCTCTACCACTTGAGCCACCATGCCACTTCCAGTTTTCTGGTGGTTAACTGGCTTTGAACCACGATCCTCAGCTCTCGGCTTGCTTATTCTTAATTTTATTTTTTATTTTGCCAGTCCTGAGGCTTGAGCTCCGGGCCTGGGCACTGACCTTGAGCCACAGCGCCACTTCCCGCTTTTTCATAAAGAGTCTCATGGACTTTCCTGCCTTGACTGGCTTTGAACTGTGATCCTCAGACCTCAGCCTCCTGAGTAGCTAGGATTACAGGCCTGAGCCACCAATGCCTGGCTTTATTCTAAATTTAAAAGAAATGGAAATGTTTTGCCAGCACTGGCCTTGGGCTGGGGGTGTGGCTAAGGGTGGGGAGCTTGCCTGCCTGGCTTAGACTCCAGGTGTCATCCTTAACACCACCGAAACAAGTCAGCCTTGTCTGCCCCTGTCCTGAAGGGCAGATGAGTTTTGGAGCCTTCATTGACCTTTCCAGTGAACATTTATTTATTTTTAGTCCACTGTGTGAATTGAAGAGAGGTCAATGGTATTAAATAACTACTTTTCTTTTGAGCTAAGATAAACCTTTTGGTGTTAGTACTGGGACTTGAACTCAGGACCTTTTGATACTGGCTTTTTCACTGGTAGTTGGCACTTTACCTCTTGAGCCATACCTCCAGTTCCAGCTTATTGCTGGTTAATTGGAGATAAGAATCTCTTGGGCCTGATGTGGCTCCAAACCTCAGTCCTCAGATCTTGGCCTTGTGAGTAGCTACAGGTGTTAGCCACACAGGCCTGGCTAATCACTAATTTCTATCAGAACAATCCAACTGATAATAACTCTGAATCCATTCTAGTTTCACTGAAGTCTGGTTAAGATGAACTTGAGCATCTCTGATGTTACTCCCTGTTGCAGCATTGTCTGTGACAGTAAAGAATACATAAATAAGCCATGTACTGGTGGCTCACACCTGACCTGTAATTCTAGCTACTCAGGAGGCTGAGTTCTGAGGATCACAGTTCAAAGCCAGCTCAGGCAAGAAAGTCAGTGAGACTCTGATCTCCAGTAAGCCACTCAGAAAACCAGAAGTGGTGCTGTGGCTCAAGTGGTAAGGTGCTAACCTTGAGCTGAAGAGCTGAGGGACAGCGCCCAGGCCCAGAGTTCAAGCCCCACAACCAACAACAACAACAACAAAAATACCTATGTACCAATGGAGAATGGCTATAACAGCCTCTACAAACCTTACGGAGCAATGCATAGAAGAGGCCAAACACTCTGAGAATTTGGAGAGAAATTCAGATTCCTTTGTCAAATTGTCAAAGAGATGGTTACAGAGTAATAGCCTAGCAGTTTCTATCGGTGTTCTCAGGGTCTTGATGGACAGCACTGCAGTCTGGAGACAGGCTCACTCTGATGACTTGTTTGCCTTCTCTTCCCAGGAACACTATGGAGGCGCTGCCAGCCTGCCAACTCCGTGATGTGGTCCAGGAGGCCATGAGTGTGGCTGTCGTGGGCATCGATGAAGGGCAGTTTGTAAGTCCTCTGTCCCCTTCTCCTCGTTGGTTTGGAAGTTATCAATTCTGGGTCTGATCTTCAGTCAAGTAACAAGGTTGACATAGTTTTATTAGCATCTGAAAAACCTTCAAATCCCCCTGGCTAGTTTTTTCCTTATTGTCATAAGGGTTTATTTTACCTTTCTTCTACCTCAACCTCCTGAGTGCTGGGATCACAGGCATCTATACCACACCTGGCTCACTGTACTCATTTTTGCTTAAAAATTTAGTGTTGTGTCAGTACTGGGGCTTGAACTCAGGAACTCTCCATTTCCAGACTTGTCTGTCTGGGCTAGTTTTGAGTCTCCATTCTCAGCCTCCTATGATTAAAGATTACAAGTGTGAGCCACAGCACCATTTCCAGTTTTCTGGTGGTTAACTGGAGATAAGAGTCTCACGGACTTTCCTGCCTGGGTTGGCTTTGAACCTCCATCCTCCGATCTCAGCCTCCTGAGTAACTAGGATTGCAGGCATAAGCCACTGGCACCCGGCTTCATCTCCATTATTATCTGTAATAGAAATTTAGCTACTTCCTCCCTCCCCTAAAGAAAAACTTTAGTTCATTCAGTAAATGATGTATTATTTTCTTGTTGATTGCACAGCCTCAAAACTCACAATCTTCATGCTTTAGCCTCCCAAGGGCTGGATTATAGGCATGTGCCACCACAGCCAACTTCAACAAATATTTACCATAACTATTATAAAAACCACCCATCTGCCCCAGGCACTGGGCCTTTGTTCTTCAAGAAGTTCAAAGTCAGCCTTGCCTACATGACTCACAACTATAATCCTAAATTCTTGGGAGGGCCTGGGAAGATGGCTCAGTGGTAGAGCGCTTGCCTTGCATGCCTGAGGCCCTGGGTTCGATTCCTCAGCACCACATAAGCAAAAAGAAAAAAGCCAAGCCGGGCGCTGGTGGCTCACGCCTGTAATCCTAGCTACTCAGGAGGCTGAGATCTGAGGATCACGGTTTAAAGCCAGCCCGGGCAGGAGAGACCATGAGACTCCTATCTCCAATAAACCACCAGAAAACCGCAAGTGGCGCTGTAGCTCAAGTGGTAAGAGCGCTCGCCTTGAGCTGAGAGCTGAAGGACAGCACCCAGGCCCAGAGTTCAAGCCCCACGACCGACAAAAAAAAAAAAAGAAAAAAGCCAGAAGTGGCTCTGTGGCTCAAGTGGTAGAGTGCTAGCCTTGAGCTGAAGAGCTGAGGGACAGCCCCCAGGCCCAGAGTTCATGCCCCACGACTGGACCCCCCCCCAAAAAAAATGCTAAATTCTTGGGAGTCTGAGATCTGAGAAGCTAGCTCTGACAGGAATGAGTGACTCTTATCTCCAAATGACCACCAAAAGTGGTCAGAAGTGGAGCTGTGGCACAGTGCCAACTGTAAGTAGAAAAGCCAAGCAAGTTTGAAATCTGGTTCAAGTCCAACACATACATACACACAACTTTCCTATCACTACTAGGGGTTTGAGCTCAAAGCCTCATGTCTGCTTAGCACCCCTGTGGGTGGGGAACTGGGAGGAGGAGGCCAGTGCTGTGGTCCTTCCCTTAGCCTACGGAGGGATGTGTCTGGTGTCCTGATTTATCCTGGCCTGAGTGGTCTGGTGTGGTGTTGGCTCATGAAACTAATGCTCTTTGGGACTGTGGTTACCAGCTCAGCTCCTAGCTGCAGGGTCTTGCTCCATGTGGGCCTAGATCCTTCCAATTCTTCATACATGTAGGATTTGGGCTTTTTTAATGACAATACTAGAGCTTGAACACTCTAGGCCTGGCCTGGGTGCTGTCCCTTAGCATTTTGCTCCAGGCTGGCACTCTACCAGCCTTAAGACACAGCTCCACTTTCAACTTGTTGGTGGTTAATTGGAAATGAAAATCTCACAGATTTTCCTGACCTCACTGGCTTCAGACGTAGATCCTCAGACCTCAGCCTTCTCAGTAGCTCGGATTTCAGGCTTGAGCTATCTGTGTCCAGCTACAGATAAGGCTTCAAAAAACTACAAAAGCAATACTTCATTCTGATGGTTGTAGAGACCAGAAGTTGGCAGGGCGGATTCCTTCTGAGGACAGAGGGAGGATCCAGGCCTCTCCTGATTTGCAGCAGCCCCCAGCCTTGCCTGCCAGGCTTGGAGCAGGACATGGCTAGGGTGGGGGAAGGGGCTGGGCAGCAGAGACGTCTCCTCAGCTGGGGGGTGTAGATGAGGAATCTGTGCGAGGGAGCGTCACTTTGTTCGCAAGCTCTGGGCTGTTTTGCGTTGTTAAATCTGGCTCTAAAAGCCAGTGCTCAGGGTGACCGCTCCCCCCTCTCCCCCTTCACTGGTCTTTCCAGTTCCCTGACATCGTGGAGTTCTGCGAGACCATGGCCAACAACGGCAAGACGGTGATTGTGGCGGCCCTGGACGGGACCTTTCAGAGGAAGGTGGGGAGCCTGAACCAGGTCTCACTGAGGGCCAGGGGAGAGGAGGCGCCTCAGCAGACACAACACCCCAGTCCACTTGCATCCTTCTGGCCTGACCCAACCGACCAGGCCAGGGCTTGCCTGAGCCCAGGGCCTCCTTGGTCTGCCCGAGAGTGGGTGTGTCCAGACCAAATGCCAGCTGCTGCCGCCAGCTACTCTGAGTTGGCATAGGGACAGATCAGGCCGTGACGCTTTAGAAAGGCAAACTCAGAGCATTTTCCCAGGCTTGGCTGCTTCTGAATTAAAGGGTTTTTAAAAAGAGGTGTAGGGCTGGGAAGGTGGCTCAGTGGTAGAGCGCTTGCCTTGCATGCATGAGGCCCTGGGTTTGATTCCTCAGCACCAAATAAGCAGAAAAGGCTGGAAGTGGCACTGAGGCTCAAGTGGTAGAGCGCTGGCCTTGAGCTGAAGAGCTGAGGGACAGCGCCCAGGCCCTGAGTTCAAGCCCCACGACTGACCAAAAAAATAAAAATAAATAAAAAAATAAAAAGAGGTGTAATCCACACACCAGTGGCTCACACCTGTAGTCCTAGCTACTTGGGAGGCAGAGATCTGAGGATCAAGGATTGAAGCCAGCCCAGGCATGAAAATGCATAAGACTTTTATTTTCAACTAACTACCAAAAGGTTGGAGGTGGTGCTGTGGCTCAATTCGTAGGGTGCTAGCCTGGAACAAAAATGCTCAGGGACAGTGCCTAGACCCTAAGTTCAAGCCCCAAGACGAGAGAGACGGAGGGAGGGAGGGGGGAAGGGAGGTCTGTGCCTGGCTGGGTAAGGAGCACACATGCTCTTCTTCTATGGATGCAGGCTTTTGGTGCCATCTTGAACCTGGTGCCCCTGGCGGAGAGTGTGGTAAAGCTGACAGCCGTGTGCATGGAGTGCTTCCGGGAAGCCTCCTACACCAAGAGGCTGGGCCTGGAGAAAGAGGTAGTTCCAGGGGCCTGTGGCTTGAGTGGGCAGGGGCTCCGCCTGGGTCTAGCCCCTCTACACTCATTCTTTGCATCTCTGCCACCAGGTGGAGGTGATTGGCGGAGCGGACAAGTACCACTCTGTGTGTCGCCTCTGCTACTTCAAGAAGTCCCCATCCCGCCCTGCAGGGCTGAACAACAAGGAGAACTGCCCCGTGCTGGGGAAGCCGGGCGAGGCCACGGCTGTCAGGAAGCTCTTCGCCCCTCAGCAGGTCCTGCAGTGCAGCTCTGTCCACTGAGGGCCTGAGGCCGCCTGCCGCCCCGCCCTTCCACCCACCCCGCGGCTGCTGCATCTGAGGAACACTGTTACAGGAGAGGCCCTCCAGGCCCTCCAGGTTGCCTGTTACCTCCTCCTGGCCTGCAGCTTCCCCTCCTGGCTACTGACATGACCAGCCGCGGGTTGGAGCGGGAGCGGGCATGCGCGGTGGTTCAGCTTGACTGCTGCAAGCATCCCCCTGGGCCAGGGCCGAGCCATGCACCGGTACTGCCAGCCTCTTCCTCTTCGTGGCTTTCACTGCCCTGTTTCTCTTCTCCCTGGAAGTCTGTGCGCCTGTGCATTTGGGGGGATCTGTCCCCCTCACGGAGGATGGCCTGGACTCCAGCCCTCACTGCCCTTCATGCTTGAACGTCCTTCCTACGCTTGGTGGTTTCCGGAAGAGCGGTGCATAGTTGGTGCTTCTTGTTTTATAGTATATGAAATTAATAACGAAGACTAAAATTCTCAAGTAGTTGAGAGCTTGCGGCTTGCTGGCCTGGGCTTCCCCGGGGCCTGGGGACAGCTTCCGCACGGTGTGGGTGGGGATTTCTTCCCAGATCTTTTTGTAGCTCTACTGCTTTCTCCAACCACAACCTTTTCCACAGAAATGCTCACAAAGCATGCCCTAAAGAGGAACTGTCACCAGCGTTTCTGTCTGTCCGTCTGGCTTTAGGATGGAAATGGATAAATAGAGCCTGGGTTTCAGGTTGTTACCAGGTGCACCTGGGAGATCAGGAGGGCAGGTACTGGGGTGTTTTTTTGTTTTTTTTTTGGGGGGGGTCCACTCGTGGGGCCTGAACTCTGGGCCTGGGCGCTGTCCCTCAGCTCTTCAGCTCAAGGCTAGCACGCTACCACATGAGCCACAGTGCCACTTCTGGCTTTTTCTGCTTATGTGGTGCTGAGGAATCGAACCCAGGGCTTCATGCATGCAAGGCAAGCGATCTACCACTGAGCCACCTTCCCAGCCCTGGTACTGGGTTTTTTGTTGTGAGTATATGTTGTCAGGGTTTGCACTCTGGGCCTTTTTGTTCAAGGCTAGTGCTCTAATGTGAGTTACAGCTTCATTTCCAGCTTCTGGTAGTTTCGCTGGAGATGAGTCTCAGGGGCTTTCCTGCCTGGGCTGACTTTGAAATATAATCTTCAGATCTCAGCCCCCTGAGTAGCTAGGATGGCAAGAGTGAGGCTCCCCTGTCCAGCTCAGGTTATGTGAGAGACACTCGATGGTTTGGGAGCTAAGACCATTCAGCTGGGCCTTGGGAAGTGGACCAGAGCAGTTCCTTGGGGCTGGGGTGCTCAGGCTCAATGTGCCCTGATCTGGGCCACACGCACCCAGTGCAGATGATCGGTTCCCAGAGGGCCTCTGCTCTGCCCTGTGCCCAGCCTGTGCCCCCGTCCTCTGCCCCGTGCCACAGCTAAGAGAGGCTGGTGGTGCAGCTGAGACTTGGGAAGAAAGCCCTGTTCCTTTGCACTTGGGGTTTTGAAATCACCTGAGTCCGCAGTTGGTGGCTGTCACTGCTCAAAAGAGGAAACTAGGAGTTACTTCAGGGGCCTGGCTTTCTGCTAGAATCAGGCCCACTCTCCCAGGGTTATTAAATAGGGTGTCCCGGGACCCAGGCACCCCTCCCATGGTGCCCTTCCCTCTGCTGAGAGCTGAGAAGGAAAGGGTTATGAAGAAAGGCACTCAGGGGGGCCAGCCCCTCTAATTCTAGCAAGGCAGTCACAGGTCCCTGGCAAGGCAGTCCAGAAAAATCTGTCTTGTTTACAAGCTGAGCACAGTGGCTATTTTGGGATGCCAGTGGAAGGCAGTAAGGGCCGAGACCCCAGGCTGAAGGGTGCTCTAGGTATACAGAAGAAGGGGTTCTTCAGAAGGCAAGTTCCAGGCTGAGGTCAGAACTCCACGGCAGAGCACCTAGCACCTACAAGCCCCCCCTAAATCCAGTCCTACCCCAGACAGGCCCAACCAAGGACCTTGGCAGCTGAATGAGAACAACATTTATTCACCTCTGAACCAGTATAACAATGGAGGGCTGTCTCTCCCAAAGCTTCGTACATTCAAGCAGTGCGGGACTCCTGCCCTTCCCACACTTGCGGAATATTTACATAAAGCTGGGTGTTATCAGGCAAAGCCCCTGCCTGTCACCAGGGGTGGAGCAGGAAGGAAGCGCCGTCTGCTGCCCCCTGGGGTGGGCACCAGTGCCACCGCGCCCGTCAAGGTGGCCTGGGGACAATTGGCACAGTGGTGACGCCAGAGGATAAATGAGTGGGCACAAGGCCCAGCCACAGGGTGGAGATGGCCACGGGGCCTGGGGTGGCAAACCTGAGTGAGGAGGAGGTTCCTGAGCCCAGCACCCCAGAGAGGACCCCGCCCCCTTCTTTGGTAGAAAATCCAAAAGATTCCCCAGCCCCAGGGCTGGAGGCCCCAGTGGCTGTGAGCTGCTCTTGGCGCTGTCGGCCTCAGGCTGCTGGGGGAGGGGGGCACTGACAGTAAGGGGGCTGGGACACAGCTCAGTAACAGTACTTACATAGCGGACGCAAGGCTCTGGGCCCAACCCCAGCACCGCAAATAAAATAAAAAGCAGTGAGGAAATGTCTAGCTAAAAAACCCTTTCTTTCCTAACCAGCGCCTCGCGCAGATGGCACTGGGGCCCTGGGGCACAGGCACTTGGGGTGGGCTGCGGGGAGATGTGCTGTCCAGCCAGTTGGCCTTGACAGGTGGGGGGGCAGAGGGGAGCCTGGCCCCAGCCACCCCCACCCCAGGCCACTCAGTACACAGGGGGCGGCTGGTAGCCCTCGGTGGTCTCTGCATTCTGGGTGAAGGGCGGCTGCTGGTAGTTGTCCACAGACGCGCCAGGGTAGGAGGTGTAGGCCGTGTTGGGGTCTGGAGTGGGGTCCACGTAGTTCTGGATGAAGTCCTCCACTCCGGCCTTGTAGCGCTGGTAGGCCAAGGAGGCCAGCACACCCTGCATGGAGACCCCAGGTGTGGGCAGGGTGAGGGGGCAGCAGCGCATTCCCTCAGTCTTGTTTTTTCTACTTTTATCTATTGGCAGTGCTAGGGATGGGGGGAGGATCTCTGCCCTTGCTAGGCAGCTACCACACCAGAGACCACAGCCCGCCTGCCCAAGTCCACTCACCCAGGAGAAGATGGAGAAGAAGCTGAAGGTGATGGCGGCCCGGGCTGAGTCAGCTCCCACCAGCACATGTTCAAGTTTGGTGGCTGACCATTGGTTCGTAAGGAAGCAAAAACCCACAAACCACAGGAAGGTCCAGAGAGCTGGGGAGAAGACAGAGGAGGTCGGCTCCACAGAGGCACAAGGGTCTCCCAGAGCCCCTGGATGTGGGAGCAGCTGAAGCAGAGGTGGGGCTAAGGGGAAGGATTCTCGGGGGCACCCCATCAGAGGGCCAGAGCCCCACATTGGTGCCCCAAGGCCATTGGGTTTCTGCGCCATCATGGTATATATCATGGCCTCTGTTCTCTAACCCTCCCTCCACCGCCAGCCTGCTCTCCTAGGAGCCAAGGGGCGGGGCCAGGTACCTGAGAAGAGGAGGTCACCAATGACCAGGTACTTGCGGTCGGTGGCATTGCTGATCTGGGGGAAGTAGATATCGACCACAAAGAAGAAGGCTGACGCCAGGAAGGCCAGCACCCCGATGGCACAGCCGTAGCGACAGGCGTCCTCGTTTTGATTGAACACACAGTACAACTGGGAAGACTCAGAGGTGTTGCTGTATCCTTCACCGAAGATGCAGGAGAACACAATCAGGGCGAATACCTGAGGGGAGAGCAGGGTGCAGGGGGTGGGCAGCCTGGCCCCCACGGGCACAGCCCACACAAACCCATCCCAGGGTTGTCACCAGGGACCCTGGCAGTGTGTGGGAACACTGGCCTGTCCCCTTCCCTTATTTTGTTTTGTTTTTGGGTTCAGTCGTGGGGCCCGCACTCTGGGCCTGGGCGCTGTCCCTCAGCTCTTCAGCTCAAGGCTAGCGCTCTACCACCTGAGCCACAGTGCCACTTCTGGCCTTTTTTTTTTTCTTATGTGGTGCTGAGGAATCGAACCCAGGGCCTCATGCATGCAAGGCAAGTGCTCTACCACTGAGCCACCTTCCCAGCCCCCCTTCCCTTATTTTGTTGCTGGTACTGTGGTTTGAACTTAGGGCCTGGGCAATGTCTCTGAGCTTCATTACTCAAAGCTGGGACTCTTACCACTTAGCCAAAGCTCTACTTGTGGCTTTTGGGTAGTTAACCAGAGATAAGAGTCTCACAGACTTTGCTGCATGGACTGGCTTTGAACCATGAGCCTGAGATCTCAGCCCCCTGAATAGCTAGGTTTTACAGGCATGAGCCATAGGCATCTGGCTCTTAAATTTTTTTTTGGGGGGGGGTGATAGGGTGTTGGTAACCCAAACTGTCCTGGAACTGAGATCTTCCTAAGATCTGGGAATACACATGTGTGCCACCGTGGCTGGTTGCTGTTCCCTTCTGAGACCGGCACTCTTACCCCTTTGGGGCTTACTGGAGTTGCTGATGAGCAGACTGTTTCCTGGGCACTGTCTGACCACAGTCTCTCACTCCCGGGGACCCTGGGGATTCCTGGGCTGGGGAGAATTGGAATGAGCCCACCAGGGGATCTCCGGAAGGGGACTGCTGCCCAGAGCTGGTGTCACAGCACCAGGGAGAGGAAGGGTCATCGGCCAACCCCCCCTCCTCACCTTCCACCCTCTAGTGCTATCAACACCTCTGGCAAGCCACGCCGGGACCCAGGGCTCGGCCTCTAGGCCCCCACCAATCCTCTGGTCCAGGCTGGCAGCCTGCTTCTACAACAGTTCTGCTTTCTTCTGTTATCCTATTCCCTCCCAGGGATTTCCAGTGTGTCTCTGGCCCACATGCAGGTCCTGTCTGAGCCAGACACTTCAGAGAGCCCTGCGACTCAAGAGACCATTGAGGAAGGAGGAGGAGGGTGGGGAGTTCACCCGCTCAACTCCCTAGAGGAACTCCATGACACGTCACCTTGCTTGCTCCTGGGTCTACAAGGCCACTCACCCCCCCCAAAAAAAAAAGGCATGGGCGAGGCTGGGGGCACCTGTTACCCTGGGGCCAGGCCCTGCCCTGCCCACTCTCACTTGGGCTCTGGAACTGGCAGTCACAGGCCCCACCCCCAGCTGCACGGAAGCCGGAACTCCAGGCGGACAGCAGCCTGACTGCTGGGCAGAGCCCCTGGCACTACCACCCTGTCCCACAGGGCATCTGTATCATCTGTGCCTCGGGCCGGGCAGGGCCAGGGGGCAGCGGGTACCCGCTGGAGCGAAGGCCCACTGCCCAGCTGGGCACCCCAACACTTGTCCAGCTTTTAGCTGCTTATCCGATGACATGGACCCCCCCCCAGGCCTGGCACCAGAGCCGATGGAGAGGGCCCACCAGGGTCGGCCGCCCCGGGTCACCTGGCCTCGGGTGAGGTGGACCGCAGCTGCGGCCTGCTCGGCCTGCTCCTGGAAGGGAAGGAGGCCTATGCCCCTCGTGGGTGACCCCTCTGTGCCCCCCGTGGGTGACCCCCCCCCACGTGGCCTCAGGAGACCCCCTCCAGGTGAGGGGGGGGGGTCAGCCACCTGCTCAGAAACTTCCCCAGCCCCTCCCCTGGGTGGCAGGCCAGGGAAGGAGGACCAAATGGCCCGGGGGAGGAGGACCAAAGGACCCGGGGGAGGAGGACCAAAGGACCCGGGGGAGGTGGACCAAATGGCCCGTAGGAGGACCGCGGGGCGGGAGAGGGGGGGAGAACCAAATGGCCCGGGGGAGCAGGACCGCGGGGCCAGGGGAGGAGGACTACAGGGCTGGGCCCGGAGGACCGGGAGCAGGAGGACCGCGGGGCCAGGGGAGGAGGACCACAGGGCTGGGCCCGGAGGACCGGGAGCAGGAGGACCGCGGGCCCGGGGTCCGGGAGCAGGAGGACCGCGGGCCCGGGGTCCGGGAGCAGGAGGACCGCGGGGCCGGGGGAGGAGGACCGGGAGCAGGAGGACCGCGGGGCCGGGGGAGGGGAGGAGGACCGGGAGCAGGAGGACCGCGGGGCCGGGGGAGGGGAGGAGGACCGGGAGCAGGAGGACCGCGAGGCCGGGTCGGGGGAGGAGGACCGCGGGGCCGGGGGAGGAGGACCGGGAGCAGGAGGACCGCGGGGCCGGGGGAGGAGGACCGGGAGCAGGAGGACCGCGGGCCCG